CGGCGGTGAAGGTCAAGCGAAGCTCGCCAACTGTCGGACTTTCACGCGGTGGAACGGAGCTTGCGCAAATTTTCAACCGCGTCAGTTACGACAGGTCTACTTTGTCTCGGTCTCTCTCGCTCTGGCAAGTCACTTATCGACGCTCCAATTCTCTTTTTCTCTCGCGCCTCTTTTCCCCCGAGCTATTTCTCGTTTGCCTTTATTACTTATCTTTAGTCCCGCCTTGCAGAGCTGCACCAGCTATTTATTATTTTCTTCGAGAAAGCGTGCGAGCGTCTTCCGCGTATATTTACCGCGAGGCTTTTTTTAAAAGCTCACGCTCTACTCTCCACACGTCGACTTATATTTATACCGTAGGCAGCGCCAGCGGCTCGCGCGAACTATACGTCGCGTATGACTATCTGTCGCTCTTTGTGCGAACGCCTTCGAAAAACCCTCGAGACAATGGCGCTAGTATGAAAAGAGCCTGCCTATAGTTGTAATGACTAATGGAGGTGGCAAAGTTACGACCGCCCTCTCCTCTCGCCATACTTTTATGCTTTACGAGCTCTTATCTCGTTCGCAAATTGCGGCAATAAAAATGTGTGAAATGGATTCAATGAAACTATTATCGTCGAGCAAACTAAAAGACGAAAAAAGTGGATTTTCGAAATTTGCTGTTTGGCGCACAAGAGCATTAAGCGCGCCGACACACGCACGCCTCAATTATTTTAATTCTCTCGGCTCTAGACGAGCTGACTGCGCGATCTCAGCCAATGTCAATCTTTCAGCCTACGTAACAACGGGAAAGCATTACTGTAGACGATAACGGCAATAGCTCGGCGAGATTTAACCTCGGTGCACGAGTCGTTTGTTCGTCAAAACAGCGAATGCAGCCCAACTTTTCTCAAAAACAGCTCGCTCGAACAAATATGACTCAGTCAATGCTGTTTATCAGTCTGTTGGCGCTTGGTAGTAAGATGCAGATTAATCACTAGTGACGTACCTGTCGACTTGTGATTCACCTCACCACACCTTCCGTCAAAGTAGTAATTCGATCTCGCGCATAAAACGTGTTCGAGGCAGGGAAAACGAGAAGAAGACGAGCGTTACGTAAAATAGTTCAACAACCCCACGAGAGAGCTGGCCCCTCCCGCAAACGTACACTATAAGTAGTGGCCTCTCCCCGCTTCTTCAAGGGGGGTGTTATATAATTTTTGAGCATCCCCGCGAGTGAGCGGGCGGCAGACGTTGAATTTCATATAGCCATACTTGCCATTCGCCCCCTTTTTTCGGGCTCGACTCACTCGCTCGCTCGTTCGCCCCCCACTACACTTCGCTCGCAGCGCAATCTGCGCGCGCAGGATTCATTCGTATTTCGCGGGCCGGCGTTTTTCGGGCGCGTTTGCGCGCACAGCGACCGAGAGCGCGAGGCAGACGGAGAGAGAGAGAGAGAGAGCAAAAGAGTGCGCGCGTATGTGCGCGCGCGAATATAAAGCGCCCAGCGCAAAAGGGAGGGAGAGAAAGCAGTCGCGACTCTCTCTCTCTCTCTCTCTCGCCGCGAAAAAGGCGCCGAGAGAGGGGAGCGCAAGGGGAGAGAAGGACGACGAGAAAGCTCGTCTTCGGCTTCTGCCGCGCGCACGGAAAAGAGTGCTGCTGCTCCGCTCTGACTCGCCCGCCCGCCCGCTCTCGCTCTCTCTCTCACTCACTCTCTCTCTCTCTCTCTCTCTCTATGTGTATATTATAGTTAGTGTGCTCGTCGTCGCCGCCGACAACCGAGAGCGGATTTTCAGTTTTTTCACTGTCTTTCTCTCTCGCGGCGGATCATTGTTGAGGGAGATGACGACGATCAGCCGAGTGCGCGACGATTGACAACTTTCGTGTCACCACCACGCCGGCGGTGGCGGCGGCTTTAACACGTGAGCAGCCACGACAACACAGTGTGTATATATGTGTGCGACCGCAAGAGGATAACAACTCTACCGACCTCTCTTCTCTTCGACGTCTTTTTAAATGACTGTAAGTCCCTACCCGACAATTTTCTTCTTCTCGCTGTGCTTCGCCGTGACTTTCCGAACCATGCATATATAAGCTTGGATTCTTTTTTATTTCAGTTGATATTAAACACGTCATTGTGCATGTTTTCTTTTAGCTATGTGACCTTGAGTCATTACTCGATAAATTCACCGAGAATTGTGCGCCAATTAAATTTGAAAAGAATCGCGAACTACTCGAAAGTTGCTTTCCGACGAATTATTTTTGTTCTTCAGCAAGATAATGATTTTGAAACAGTGATTGAATGAAATATAAAGAGAAGAACCACGCTATGGACTGAATGAAAACAGTTGTCGTGCATGTACGTTATCGCTCGAGCGGTGTGTGAAACCCGAAGACGTGCAAGTATATGAACCGAGCGATGAGAGTGCGAGATCCGCGTCTCGTGTGTATAGCGTATGCGTACCACGTGACTTGTGCACTCGCAAGCGAATTTCCGTTTGCACATTCGAGACCGTTTAAACGATTAAGTTTTTCATTTAATTACGTCGTTTTTCTTCTTCTTTTTTTCTTTCTCGAGATACTGCTTCTCCTGTCCTGAGCAAGCGGAGTATCAGCTATTTTTTCTTCTGCGTAGATAATCGACTAAACATAGTTCTAGAGAGATACTCTCCTCGGATAATTGTATGCACGCACCTTCGCACACTTTACACTAGATCGAGCTTGTGCAAAAAGGGTGAAGTGCGTGTGAACTCGTACGTAATAGTCCTCGGTGACCCAGTGCACGCAGAAAAACACTGACGGAGAAATTCTCTTTTTTCTACCCTATATTTTCCTCCTTTCTCGCTGCTTTCTTCGTCAGTTTATATCCTTATTGTCTTGACTGCGCTCTCGGGATCAAAATCAGTGAAAGTGTGACAGCAAATCGAGCCGCAAGTATAGCCTCGAGCGTTGCTAAAGCCTGGATTGATTTGTCACCACGAGCGTACTCCTTTTTTATCGGCTCCTTGTTTTTTATTTTTTTTTATTTTTACTGCTGCGTATACGCACACATGGGCAAAACGAGAGAGAGAGAGAGAGAGAGAGAGAGAGAGAGAGAGAGAGAGAGAGAGAGAAAAAGCGCGGTTTATTTATTTGACAATACAGCCGATCGGTTTTTAGTTTCTCGTTATCAACACCAAGCTTGCACACATGCAATATCGAATCGTTGGAAAATTGACGATGCAGTTAACGCCGTGACCTTTGCGTCCCTTTTTATTTATTATTTTTTGGTTCTACCGAGCTGACAAACCACCAACGATTTTTTTTTTAGCACAGCGATACCACTCGATTGAATTCAATTGAAAAGTAAAACGTTCCAATTTTCGCAGTTCAGCGCAAGAGAAAAAATAGCGCGAAGAATTTTCACTGTCTGTTTGCTTTGAAAAGAAGTTAACGCTTTGAATGTGATCGCTGATAAAATTCGAGTGGTCGTGTTATAAAAAAGTGCTCTGGGTGGGGGTAGCGAAGGCGAACTGTAAATTCGTTTTCTCCTCGGAGGACGTCTTACTTCTCTTCTCTCTCTCTTTCTCTCTCTCTTTTTTTATCGAGAGATAGCGCGCTATCAGCATACTTTAATGCTTGCACTTTTGTAAGTGCTTGAACGATGAAGGGGGGAGGGGGAAGGTAGAGGGGGCACAAGAATTATTTAATCGTACATGCTCTGGCTGGGCTCCAGCCGGCCTAATTTTCCAACTCCGAGGGATAGAGTCGCGACGATAAAAGACGCGACAGGCCTAAATAGATATAGAAAAGAAAGAGCCGCAGCGTAAGAAGCAAAAAATAATATTGCGAGCGGAGGAACTTCCGCAACTAAGTTCGCAAGAGGCGGCACCGCGCAGATAAGTGCACTATACATATACATACACATATACACAGTGTATGCGTTTGTATGTGCGTATGTGTGTAGATATCGGTAAAAAGTCTAGCACATGCATAGACCGTGCATTCACATCCCCAGACGTCGACACCTGTTCGTATAGTAGCGCACTGCTTGCTGCATTTCTCTTGTATACACTGCGGAGGATCTATTAGTTTGAAAAGATGAAGAGTTTTCGTCGATAATATCCGTAATAATGCGCGTTGAGTGTACGATATCTTTTTGCAAAGCAACGTTTTACCTTGAAAATTCGTGTGAACCTTGGGGGCCTCTCCCGTGTTTATTTATGCCGGTTGCAAGGTCTACCCCCACCCTATATACGAGAGATCGCGCGCATTAGTCCAGAGAGAAAGAGTGAGAGAGTGTGTGAGAGAGAGAGAGAGAGAGAGAGAGAGAGAGAGAGAGAGAGAGAGAGAGAGAGAGAGAGAGAGAGAGAGAGAGAGAGAGAGAGAGAGAGAGAGAGAGAGAGAGAGAGAGAGAGAGAGAGAGAGAGAGAGAGAGAGAGAGAGAGAGAGAAAAGGTGGCTTCCCCACCAATGGTTTTTTTTGCGAGACAAACTGCAGAAAGAAAAAAAAAACGTTCTTTGCAACTCTTTTCGCAGCATAGCGCTTTTCTCCTCCTCCTCCTCCTCCTCCTTCTTTCTCTCAAAACAAGCTCTTTATCTAAATTTATCAGTGCTTTTGTGCGCGATGCCCGACGTCTTATCGGGATTTGCCGTATACTTTCGAGGTAAAGTTGAATTGCAACTTTCTTGGCGAAGAACAGTTTTCGAAATGCCAGACTATTTGGTCGACTGATGTAATAATCGAGAAAGCGACAGAGATTCGATTGGCAAATCGTTGCACGACGTATTATCGCATTCCGATTGTAAATAATTATTTGCTGATTTAATATAATAGAAAGGCGAAAGAGAAACGTAGACACGGAAAAGAGGTTAGTCCCGCTGTGATTTATTGCCGATCATTTGGAGCGGAATCGATAATATTAATATATTTCCCCCTTTTAAACATTATCATTTTAATATAGCAACGAGTTGTGCGACGAGCAAAAGCTTCGCAAACAAGACCAGTGCGATTCTAACGTTCGTATTCTTTCCCGTGTGTTGCAGGTGAATAGGCATAACGATGGTAGACACACAACACTTTTGCCTACGGTGGAATAATTACCAGAGTAGCATCACATCGGCATTCGAAAATCTGCGAGATGACGAGGATTTCGTGGACGTCACGCTCGCCTGCGATGGCAAGAGTCTCAAGGCACACAGGGTCGTCCTGTCGGCCTGCAGCCCCTACTTTAGGGAGCTCCTCAAGGTACATAAGTCATCCATTTGGCTACCACATCCTCCTCTTTTAAAATGTTCCGACTGCAGCCTGGCTCAATCGTTCGTACGTTTTGCAGAGCACACCGTGTAAACACCCGGTGATAGTACTGCAGGACGTGGCATTCAGCGACCTTCACGCCCTGGTCGAGTTTATCTATCACGGCGAGGTGAACGTGCATCAGCGCTCCCTAAGCAGCTTCCTCAAAACAGCCGAGGTGCTCAGGGTATCGGGACTCACGCAAACGGCCGATCAGACCGACAGAGATGAGGTAATTGACAGCAGTCACGTGCATGTGTGAATGTGTGCTTTACGGGCTAATATATTTTCCGATCAGTCGAATCGAATAGAACGGAAGAGCAGAAAGAGAACGACTATATCGGTCTGTTTTTTCGGTGCGCGAGCCGGGGATAAAAAATTCACGAGCGCTCCTCAGCGAAAGCGTTCGATATGGCTAAATTGTCAATTTAGCGACCCACATGAATTAGAGACGGAATCGATTAACCTGGAGCCTCGAGACTTTTTCCCTCGGTTTTCATTAAATATAACGAGCGTTGCCTCTCCGCGGTTGCTTGCGCTCTAAATGAGCGCTGTCGTCACTCGATATTCGACGTATACATGACTAGATCGATCTCTAGAATTCTGTTTTTCACGTGAAATTTCGTTGTCTCTTTCCGACCACCTGAATAGCTTGCTTGTGCTTATGAAAATAGAGTCGTTCGATAATATCGTTGCTTGATAGAGACGGAATGGATATCGTTTTCCTTAGAGGCGGCAAAAAAAAATGAAGGTTGAAATTAACTAGACGTATATATACGGGGAGAGAACGGGGTCGTTTTTGCAAAAATAACATCTAATGTTCACTAATTAATGCGAGTATTGGACTGCGCAATTATTCACGTTCGCTTGGCGGTAGACTATACGAACCTAATTATTCAGATACTCTATCGTTGTATGACGTGGTTATTAGAGGTGAATTGTGCAAAGCTATAATGCCAGTCAAATTGACGCGGATTTAATATGGACGACGTACAATCGCATTATGGTGGAACAAAGATGAGCTTGCAAGCATTCAAAAAATCAAATCTAGTGTAATTGGATGTCGACGTGTGATAAATATTGTGTGTCCCTTCTGAACTGCAGTTATCGCACGTACGCGCACTAGCAGCGGGTGCCGGTGGCGGTGTCGGGGGTGGCAACCACCTGCCGCCACACGATAAGCTAGTTGCGGACGAAGGCTTCCCAAGTGGCGGTTCACCACCGAGGCCTGTGAATCCATCGCCGGCGACGGTGCAGCAGCTACTTCGCCGACAGCAGATTCGCCGCGAACGCAACGAGAGGCATACACCCGACCCGCACGACGACAACTCGATCAAACGGCCACGCGTGCTGTCTCCGCCGCTCAACAACAACGACGCGACGCCCACCGATTTCTCTATGGTCAAGAGCAATCATCTGGTCGACAAGATAGAGAACAACGGCTTACACGAGACGGAGAACGGACCACTGGACGACGGTATCAAGTGTGAGCCGCTCGAGTTGACCGGTGGCAACGGTGGCAGTATGGCTGCCGGTGCTGGCTCGCATTTGCCCAACAACGAGGACAGCTCGGATTCTGGAGCTGCGGCGTCGGATCGACCACCTGCCTCGGCAAGTAGCAACGAGCACGAGAACGAGCACGAGCATCCACCGACGCCCAACTACATGGCCGAAAGCAAACTCTTCGCTTCGACACCTGGCAGCTTCAATTTCAGTATGGCTGCGCTCGCCTCGGCCGAGCACTCGCCGCTTTCTGGTGAGCATTTGCATTGCCGACACTTTGAGCTTGCCTGTACGCACCGAACAATTGTCTTGAATTGAATGTTGTCTATTTTTTTCCTTTTTTTTTTGCCGTCATGTCTCTGTCGTTCGCACGTACTTCCTTTGCTTCATTTTTGTTACGCTTGTCGCCCTCGAACTCGCGATGTGAACTCTTATAGTGCTCTTTATTTGATTATAATACTTGCTGTTTTGTGCGTTGATAATGCTTGTCCTTGACTAAGTCGCGTCATTTACTCAATGGAAAATCTGCATGAACGCGCCAGAGTTATATAATCAAATTTCTTCAGAAATAGTTTCATGACTAATTTATTTCACGGAGGAATTTATTTATTGTTTAGTTTTAATGATTCCTCCGAAAGTTTTTCTAGCTTAACATAATTAGTTTCGAATGAATAATAATCCGCGCTTCGAATTATTGCGCAATCAAATAAGATTTGAATTTTGAAGTCGTTTCTATGAATGCGTCATTTGCAAATCTTGCAAATCTACTCAGCATGCAGTGAATTATAATTTTATGCATGAGATTCGGAATGTTTTGAAGTATTTTTTCGTCGAAACTGTATAGTAGTGGCACGTCGGCGAATAGAAGAGATAGATTTTTTTATCACTCTTGCTATTCAATTCGTAGTTGCGAAATTGCGTACAGGCTTGAGACTGCACTCCGATTAGTGGAGGAACGATTAGCTATGTTTGACGATAGTGAAATTTCCAGGGTTGGGCCACGGCTTGCAGACGGCGGATTTAGCGGGAACTTCGCAAGGTAAGAAATATTCCATGTTTTTCTCTCTTATTATCCTTTGTTTCACGTATACGTTTTATTTCCACACTCATTTATATAAGGTTTTCTAATTAATGATTTTTTTTTTACATTTTTTTATTGTTGTATCAAATTCAGTAAGTTGTTTATTATTTCGCCCTGTGAAATCACAAGAATTAGAGTAAAGAAAAATAAGAAAGCTTCTGATGTATCTTTAGATTTTCTTTTTCTCTTTTTGTTAAAAAAAAGTATACAAAATTATCACTATTTTTTTTATTATTGTTGTCTATTGTCGAAAAATAATAGAAGGGCAGACGTAAGGCTCGAATCTGCGTTCTTTTGATTTTTCAAAGGGCTCTCTTCGCTACTCTCTTCGATTCTCAAAATCGTCGGGCGGTAAAAAGCGCGCCACGTAGCTTTTCAAAGAACTTTAAAAAAATATATATACGCTCTTATAATAAGAATTTTCTTAAAAGACAAAAAGAAAAAAAATTGCCGTCTACGTGATGCGCGCCGCCCGGCTATACTACTTGGACGTAATTACGTAAGTCGCTGTGACTTGTGCAGTTATATCAAACTAACAAATCACAATTATTATGTACTGCCAATTTATTAAAAACAAAAAGAAAAAAAAACCTTTTTTTTTCATTTACTTTATTATTTATTTGGTTGCGGTGAAAGTTCATTATACCTCTGTCTTTCCTTGCTTTTGGAAGATCAATTCTCTTCTAATTTGGCATGCCACTTTTTTTATATTACCAAAATCATCCGAAATCATCACTACTTTTTTTAAATATTTTTTTTTCTTCGACGAAAAATAAAAAAAAAACGTCATTTACTTTCGTATAATGGACGTAACTCGCTTGCACTTTCATCTTTATTTTATTTTTCATTAGAAATTCATTAAACCGCGAGTTTAAAAATCGCCCGCTCGACCTCGTGGTTCCTTTGTCTTTCTACTTCTAACTTTCATGGTCACGTTTTTGTATTTTTTTTTTCTGAAATTACGAATGCCCAAAGTTTCTTTTTTAAAGCCGTCGAAGTTTTAGTATTTGAAGATTCGTTAAAGTAGAAACCCAAAGCTTCGTCGTTGAGCCGGCGGTCTTTCGTTATATTGGCGAAGAACAAGAAAGAGAAAAATGTCAGTTTGAGATCACTGTACAATCTATCATCGCCGCGATCGTCTCTGCGCGCTATAGTTTGCAGTCCTTATTTTTTTATTTGTTGCTTGAATAATGCAAAAATAAAATGAAATTGAGAAAGAGAAAAAGCTTTTGTAACACCATTTAACAATTATATGGACGAATTTGTTTATCCTGCCCTCGAGACGATCGTCGGCGAATAAGTCGACGAATCTCGACGATCACTTTTATATATTTACAATTGCACAGCGCGTACCTACTTACTATCTTAGTACTATATACATTACTTATCAATCTTTGTCGTGTTCGTACTGTCCAAATTGTCGCATAAGTTACTTTTTTTTAATTTCTGTATTACCTGAGTGTTATCGTCGTTCCATATTTGTCTCTAATTATAAAAAAAGTATAAAAAATTAGCTATGATCACACCATATATTGGCACGTCTACATGATTTAGGCTTGCCGAGTGCAACTCCAAAGAAACTATAAAACTCCTGTATGAAAAACAAACGTAAATGAAAAACACTTGAAAGCTTACATTGCGATGAAAGAAAAAAACCAAAGAGAATACATAAGACGAAGAAAAAACAAAAACTGATACGGATGATTGAGAATAATTGTCGAAGTCGTACGTATAAGTCGGTTGTGTGTTATGAAATTGCGGAGAGGCGTGTTTACCTCTCGGAAGCAGTTGCGCGCGAAGCGTTATCGCAGCTTTGGCGTTTATTGTTATTCGAGCTCCCCCGTATAACCAATAATATTCCATTATCACGGCTGAATAGTTTGGGTTTTAAAGGTGAAGAAGTCGCTCGGAAACACGAGCTTTCCTTTTAAATTTAGTTCTCCTTTTCCGCGGTGTCAGTCGCGTCGCGCGCAAGTCAGCTTCTATCGTGTGCGCGCATTCGTGCCGATAGCTTATCTAGATTAATGCGAATTTAGTCTCCTATTTCAGACTCACGCTAATCCAATAGTTATAATGACAAAAGGAGCTGTCGAAATGGTTATTATCGGAATTCTGTAGCGATCAATAACAAAGGAGTACATCCCATTTACGACCCGCATACATCAAAGATACACTCGCAACAAATATTTCTTTTATTAATCATAATCATCAGTCGAATATTGCCGATATTCCTGCAAACGTCCGTCAAATTTCTGGTCAATTAAAAAAAAAATAAAAGAAGACAGAAGAAGAAGTAAACGAGCACAATATAAGCCGATAGCGCGTCTGCGAGGATAGGAAATGGCCATTTGCAAAGATGAATTAGAGTGTGTGTGTTTGTGTGTGTGTATGTGTATACTTGTGTGAGAGAGAGAGAGAGAAAGAGTGACGGGCGGCTTAAAATATGCACATTTCGCAACTAGATTAGGCGACGGAGTATTTTTCTTGCGCACCAATCGCGCGCCCACGTATACAGACACACGCAAGACATCACACGCATAAGTTAGTCGTGCAAATGATAACCGACAAAAACCTTCGCGAAGATTCCGCTTCTCAGACTAGCCGGGACGGCAAACGAGCAAGAGAGCAGCGCTTAATATTGTAAGGTGATAAAAAGAAATGCGAGCGCACGAAGATATGTAACGATAACAATTTATTTGGCAATTGTCCAAGGCTCTTTGCAATAAAAAAGCATAAAATTGAGATTGTCGCATCTCGGGAGCGCTTTGTAGACTGGGCGCTTTCTTTGTCTCTCGTCCTCTCTACGCCTCGACGGCAAATGGAGCGTGGCATTGATTTGTATTTAATGCACAATTCATTTGTGTCGAGCGTCAGACTGCATTGCCGAATCATAATTATATCTTTAACCTTCGTAATGGCCAATTTAATTTAATAGGCAAATAGGAAAAGTTAGGATTTTTTCAACAGCTATTGTCATGCATATTAGTTATCGCTCGACTGCCTCAATTCAAATAAGAAAGGCCAATATCGCCGTCTCGAAACATTACTTTCACGAGATTGATTATCATCCTCGCGTAATTATGTTTGCGCTCACTACTACTTTTTTTCTATTATCAACGCGACCTAATTTCGCCGTACAAAAGATATAGATCGTCTGGCCGAACTTTTTTTTTACTCGTTATTAGTCACATGCTCGCTATATAGCGCGAGTTTCAGTATTTCTCTATCCACTATGAATTTTAGGCAGTTAAAACGACTAGTCACGCGTTCCTGTTTACCATGCGATTATACTTTACGAGCTATTCCCAAGCACAGGAGGGCGCAAAATCAGAAAGGGCTTGAGAAAGAAATACAAATAACATATGTGCGCGACTGATAAATTTAGAGAAATAATATTCGGGGCTTACTCTAGGTTAGTATTCGCAGCAGTGTCGAAAAAAAATGGAGAATTTATCGTTTTTGTTAATCGTGTTTAACGATACGCGAAATAAAAAGAGGAGCATGTGCGTGTATGAGAGCGAACGAGGGAGGGAGTTATTTTTCGATAACGGGCCGCAGATGCTATCCGCGAATTTCAAGGTCCCTCTATCTCACTACGCCTATAGCTCGCTCGCGAATATAAGCGAACGCGAGCGTTATTCGGCGACGACGGGCGGTCAAGTAAACATTGGCCTAAACTAAAAATACGACGGCCTTGGTACGCCACTCACTCGTTATGAGCTGTGTAAATGCGTGCGTATGTGTGCACGCACGTATCGCAGAGTTCGAGTTGCCAATTATTAGGGGCCAAGCTTTTTCGCTATCGTGACCTCTTAGTTTTGCTAATTCCCTCCGAAACGAGCTTTTTCGGCACACACACGCATATACGTACACCGTGATAGCGCGTCCTTGTGATGACCGATGTGTTTGCTCAGCGGATTAGTCATATGTCTGCCGTTCTTTTTTTTCTTTTTAATTTGACTCGTCTAGATAAAAATCTATGACCTCGGAAAGTTGTATGCGATTATTATTTATACATTTGCGTACATTTCTATCATCGAATTAATCTCCTGCTCGCTTTCGCAAGATCAATGTGACGATGAGACAATGCCTTTCTAGACCAATCTCGCGAGGATCTCGCAAGGAAATTGTAACGAGTGGGCCGCTTTGGCAAGCTTTCAAAAGGAAAACTCAATATCGCGGGTCAACGATCTGTATGCTGTCTTTTCCTTTTTTTCTTCCGGCTTCGCCACCAACTTTTCGTCGTTAGAGCTACTCCAATTAACGAACCTTAAGTGGCAATTATTTATTTTATTTTCATTTTCGAGTATGTTCGCAGATGAGAGGTGAAAAAAAATAAAGCATCACTGTCGCTCTTTATCAACTTATGTATAATACCGTTACGTTGAAAAATAATAATGAAGCGAAGGTGGGAAACTCGGAGAGAAACTATAAGTACGCGCACGCGATGACAGTTATGTAATCGTGTTTCGCTTTGATTCAATCTCTCCGCAGTCTCGTAGGTAATAATTTTATAAGAAACATATAAATATTTACCTTGCTTCTTTTTTCTGACCTCATTGGCATTTATACTTTTTCTCAGCATATCGCAAAGTCTCAGTATACTTCTCTGTATCGGAATTTAAAGAGCTTTCTTTATCAAGCTTTATCGTTTTTCCCTACATTTCTTCATCATCGAGAAAAAATTCACGAACTAAGTTTAGTGAGCAACTGCCGTAGACTTTTCGTTTCTCTTTCTCTGTCAAAAATTCAACTGTCGAAATTTCAAATTCAAATGTGGTCCAAATTTCCGGCTAACAAACTTTCTTTCCCAAAAAAACAAAAAAAAAATTCCGATACTTTATAGTACAGGACCGGTACACTGTAGAGCGAATATTTATTTGCCGGCGTATATAGACAACTTTAAGTTTTGAAATCTTAGCACGGCGGGAAATCGCCGCGTCGATTTACCGGCTCGA